CTCTCACGTCATTGATTGTTTTCCGCATCGGGGACACACTCTCGCCTTCCGCATGGATGAACGGCAGCACACGAGCCACCGGATGTATAGAAAGTCTCACAGAAACCCGGGGCGGCAGCACCATCGCCACCATGCTGCTCCCCAGTGTGACTGCTGCTCCTCACGATGAGTCATCGCACTGGTCTCGGCCCCTCGGTGACGGGGGTAATGGGGGGCTTGCAGTCTGCTGGTGAAGAATACTGTATGTGCACGTATACTGCAGCTGTGGTTCATGTTGCAGCGGTGAGCGGACGATGACCGGCTGGATGGGTAGAGGCAGTTAATAGCTCCACGGTGCTATTTAGTTCTGAGAGGACAGAACTAAACTAATTCAGGCGAAGTCCTCCTTTTTGGCTCTAAAGGTCTTGAAAGGTTTTAACTGCATGAAGCCAAAGAAGGCCTTTAATTAGCTCTCCAGTGTTGATCTTGAACGTATTCTTCCAATTGATGTGCCGTGCTGCTTGTATAATGGAATACTATGAATATCGTGCCCCATTATAATTATTAGCGTTCAACACACTTTTGTGTGAATGTTTTCGGGCACAAAATTCCATCCCGGGAGCCTTCATGGCAGTTGGAGACTTGTAACCGTAACAAAATTTGAGAATCTTGCATGTAGATAAATACATTAGTTATCCTCATTGCCGTTACAGAGCGGCGGCAGATTTGTCGGACTCTCTCTAAACTAAACTTGATTTCAGTTTAGCGTGTCCCGGGCATTCCAGTGAGAAAACAACATGCAAATACCAGCGCTGTTCCGCACCTAAATGGAACAGAGGCATAATTAATGTTGGTAATTGCGCACCTGTGTTTACACTGCGATGACTTGCCCAAACGCCTGCTGTGAAAGGGGACTATTATTATTTCTTGTAACTATGCAACAGCAGGTTGTGTTACCTTATGCGGTTGTCACCCATGTGAACAAAGAACTAAAGACAGGCACTGGTGCTTTTTTTTTAAACTTCTGCAGGAAAGCAGCAGCAACAAAAGTCGTCTGAAGGTCCACGTCTCCGGGAATTAATCCTGCTTGATTTTGTTATTTCACAACCAATTGGGACAAAAATGGACCCTGATTCGCTGAGGCCGCTGGCGTACGATGTCCAAAGAAAGAATCTTTTCATGGTATGTTTGCTACATGAGTATTGGAAACCCTTTTTGGACTGGCCTTTTCGCTTTGCAATAGATTTTGGAAAAAAATAAAATGATAATAATCCCGACCCATCAGCACTCCTCACTCTGCTTCCTCTGCATGTACACATGCACCGCCGCCGTCATGGCAACAGTTTGATCCAAACCCTGGATTCAATAAACACGACTAGGCATCGTCTAACTTAAATCGTACATTTTTAAATGTTTTTTCCATCAGCAAATTTTTTTCTTCCCCCCTTCAAGCCTACTTCAACACCCCAAGTGTGGTAAAAGCATTCACAAGGAGGACCTCCTGCTCTTTGTGCCCTGGCCAGCGGGTAAGCAGGGCTTGTTACTACCACAGGGAGATCAAAGAAGAACCCACGTGGGTCCACAAGGGAGGATTATGTGTGTTTGAAATGAAGCTGCCCTGTGGACGGTACCACACCGCTCGCCCTCGATATCCTTTCACCCCACTTGCTGGGTGATTCGTCGCGAACAGCGATTACCTTTTGTAGACCAGCTATGCGGAGTTACTGCTACTGTACTCGGCCTCACTTGATGCTGGCGGTGTTACCAATAAAAAGAACCTGTGGGTCTAGTAAAAAGCCGCCGTGACGTCTTTGTTCTGAGGGGGAAAAGCCTGCTTCCTTGACTCTACTGGGCCCTGTAGCCATTATCAATGAATCAACCACAGCGAGTTGTGCTTTTCTGTTGTCTTAAGAGAGGTGATCTATCACATGGTCAACATTACCGGGGATTATTGGGGATTTCTTTTTCCCACTGATGCGTGCACCTACACGGCACCGGGGCAGCAGGACTCAGGTAGGCCTCTGAAACTTTCTTCTTTTTTCTTTGACATGCTCCAATAATTATTCCGCCCGTTGGACGGACACCGTTCTCCTATTCCCCATGTGGCTGTGGTCGGCCCACAGGTCACCGGTTCCCAATCGGCAGAGCTGATTGAGCACCGGTCGTTTTTTACTCTGTTCTCCAGCTGGTTTGCAGCACTAAGAGCTTCACAGTCCTGCATGGATGACAGAAGAAGTCCTATGTAAAATATTTTATTCCTATTTTTGTGTTGTATCCAACTTCCTGTTATTCTTCGTCAGCCTCAAATTGTTTTTTCAAATAGAATTAAAACCAAGTCAGTAGCAACACCGCAGCAGGGAAGTGGGGACGGACGGATACGCCGGTGTACGAGCACTGGCCAGCTCCCCTTGGCTCCATAGTAAAAGGTTATTTTGGGAAAAAACGGATAATAAAGAGATAAATCGTTCTAATAAATGAAGAAAGTCGTATGTGGTTCGTTGTGTTCAGTTTGTTTGTTTGGATCATAAAGATTATTATTTCCATAGCGGATGTTTGTGGACATTTGCATCCACAGAAGGTAAATTATACCCATGATGGTTCCACGGAGGCGGTGATCGCAGTGCTCTGTGGCGGCATTTCTCTTATGAGTAACTGCATCTCCTGCCACGTGATTAAGTTAGATGCCTAATGCAGGATACGTTTTTAAAATGCCATAGTTTGATTGTTTCATAAAGAAGCCATTTCTTTCTGTGATGGTGTTATGCAATTTGAATTTAATATCTATTTGTCATAATAGGACAGAGATGGAAGAGTATTGCTTTCATAAGAAATGCTCTGTTTATTAAAGACTAATGCGGGCATAAATCATGTACTGTAGTTAAAGGTGCTAGCAGCAGAATATGTGAAATATGGATGAGATACTGAGGGGAAAAAGTTAATTGGAAGTCCTGCTGTTACAAAAACCTTGTGGCGTTCAAGAACACCGTAATGTGTACGTATACTGTGTGAATCCATTTCATTAAATATCAACTCACGTGGTTCATGTCTAGCGTGTGAAGGCTGTTTTCTCTCTTGATCGGTATGTATCCAATGGTCTTTGATGAGGATCTATTCATCCAACCATTCGGTTCCTCTTTATTTCCACAAATGCCGGTTTCCCAGACATTTACCTAAAATGGTGTGCAGTGTTGACACTGCAGAGCCTCTGTGATCCGAGCCAGCGGAATCTTTCCTGCCTTTTCTCTTTTTTTTTGTGATCTTGCTAATAAAGTGCAGAAAATCTCCTCAGCTCACAGGGGTCAAGGGGTCAGACCTCCTCGCGGGTGGAAAACTCTGCTCCAGCAGGGCATCCTCTTCAGAAAGCCAGAGGAAAAAAGGAGCACAACGAGGGGTCGGACACCCCTTGATGGATGGGCAGTACAGGCGGAGCCCGAGCGCACTAACTCTGAGGAGGATGAGGAGGATGCCAACACGCCGGCTAACACGCTGCAGCAGGAAAATATAACCAGACAACTTTCCCTGAGAGCAACTGAGCGATGACGGAAGAACGACGGGCTTTGATTCCAGATCTAAACAGGAAATTGAAGTGCAAGTTAAACTTCTCTTTACTATTGTTTTATTTCTAAGTGTATTCTAAAAGCAGAAGACAAAATGTAATTGTGGACAAACCTGTGTGTCCGCCAAAAATAAAACCGGATAGTTTGGGCCGGATAGGAGCGCCGAGGACAACGAAAACCTATAAAAAGGACTGAGTTAGTCAGCAGACGGGTGGAGTTGGTTCTGGAGCATAAGGGCTACGGAGATGTCATAAACACATGTCCTCCAGGATTACTGGCCTCAGATGCCAATAATCACAACGTCACGCTTATTTTATTGCAAGAAAAGTTCTTTGACCACATTTGCTGTCCGTCCTCCCTGTGATAAAGAGATACAAAATATATATATATATATATATATATATATATATATATATATAAAATCCCACAGCATCCCTAAAATCAACATTGATTATCTGCTGCCACCTGCTGTCTTCAGACTTTACTACAGTAGTAATATAGTAGTCAACCATGTGAAAATGGTTGTTCTTGAGGTTTATCCAGGGGTATATATGGATATTATCTTGTCTCATCCCCCCTTCCTGTCTACTAAAGCTAAGCTCCTGGCCTATTTGGTTTTATCTATGTAGGAGCTCTGAAGGTTGAGATTATGATGGAACTGCAGCAAATTAAAATACATTTTTTGTAATATTTATTTATTTGGGTTTTTGAGTTCCAAGCCTCCTCGACAATCAATAGGCCTAAATATATATATATAATATATATATATATATATATATATATATATATATATAATAACCCTGTTCTACAGATTTGTTTGAACTCTTGAATTCAAAGTGGGAGATATGGTTGATTAAACATAAAATGATGTGTCTGCAATGATTCCTGTCCAATGCTGGATACAATAAAGCCCCATCCTCTGTGGCAAAGCTCTGAACGCGCTCCTACGTAGGCCGCACTTACTCAACCTGATAAACTGGCATGACGCCCCACTGGCATTTCCGAGCTGAAAAGGCGAGGCGACAGTTTAAACAGGTATCGCTCTGTGTGAGACACGTCGCAGGTAAGGTGTGTTTCTCTTTGCTTTCCTTCGGCTGCCCCGGAGCTTTGTGGAGCGGAGTTTAAGGCCACGAGTAGGTTGTCATTGTGGTTCGTGCAGTCTAGGATCATCAGGTAAGCATACTCCCTGCTGAGAGGGAACTCTCAAATCTTCAAATGAAACATGCTAGATATGCCCTTGTATTGGCTCAATAATACACACCATATGAAATGATACTGCCGTCGATGGTCGCATGCACTGCCTTCTGCAGGGCAAATTGTGTAAACCAGGAAATGATCGAACGAGTGACTTGAGCTGGTGCTTAATAGGAGGGAAGGTTCACACACAGCAGAATCCCAGAAAAAACGGCCTGTCTTTGCGGGACTCGTCTGACAAAGAGCTTTTTCTAAAGACTTAAGGTACGAATACATTCAAAGTATCATGTATCCAATAAGGAATAATTGCAGGCTAGTGCAAACCATGTGTATGGCAGGTAGTATTAAAACCGAAAAATGGATTAAACACTAAGGGCTAAAGAGAATGCACGCTGAAACAGTCGTTTTTTCTGCTGAGGACTTTAAAAACTGTCAATAATGCGTTCAACATATTTATTTAAAGACAATATCTCTTTAAACAAAAATAAAAAGTGGCTCAAACAAGGAAGTAGTCACGCTCAAGTAGACTCTGCTGGAGCGTCCACCTTCAAGATAAAGTTGAGGAACCTTAAACTAAATAAAAAAACAACAACAATGCTTTTGCAGTCGACGTCACGTCTGCATAATTAAATAAATAATCGACGTAAATTGCAATTGTTGTGATGTTGCCAGTTCGTGTGAAACCTTTTTACAAAATGTGTAGCGATGTGTTTTTACTTTGAAAAACCTGTACCGGAAGTTACCCGCTGCCTAGCTGTTGGCGGAAGACGCCGGTGCCGTTTGCGTCGCGCAGCTAGCGGCGGCCCGTGGCTGCAGAGTAGCGCACCTATTGTTTTTTCTTGACCGGGTTGTTGTTGTTGTTGTTGTTCTTTTTGTCATTCCTCCTCCTCCGCCGCCGCCATGAACAGGACCCAGCTGAAGCGCTCCGGTATCTTGAGGATGGCTCTGGCAGGCTCGGAGACAATGGACCAGGACCAAGTCGACGGAGAGACCTTCCTGTTCCGCGCCGTCAGAATCGCCGCCGTGGTCACGCTGTACTGGTTCGTCTCCATCACGATGGTGTTCCTCAACAACTACCTGCTGGACAACGGGGACCTGGACGTGCCGCTGCTGGTCACCTTCTACCAGTGCCTGGTGACGGTCGCGCTGTGCTGGCTCATGCAGCTGCTCGCGCGGCTGTGCCCGGGGCTCATCGACTTCCCCGCGGTGCGGTTCGACCCGAAGACGTCCCGGGAGGTGCTGCCGCTGTCGATCGTGTTCATCTGCATGATCACCTTCAACAACATGTGCCTGAAGCTCGTCGGCGTGGCCTTCTACACGGTCGGCCGGTCGCTCAGCACCGTGTTCAACGTGCTGCTGTCGTACGTCGTCCTGAAGCAGACCACGTCGCTGCGGGCCGTGCTGTGCTGCGCGATCATACTGGGTGCGGTCACGTGTTTTTCCCCCGGAAGTATTCATGAATAAGCGCAGAAAACCCACGTGTCGGGTCTCTTTCTCCCCCACGCACCCAAAAACAAAAACATTGGTGACGTTGGGGCGGTCCGTAAGCGCCTCGGTTCGCAAACCCGGGCGTGGACTGCAGTCACGTGACTTCCACCAAGGGTCAGGTGTTGTGTCGTTTAAAGGTGTCAATCAGCTTAACAATGTTGATCCCCAGCAGGTAGCTGGATGCACTCTAGATAACTTTACATAACTTTGTATGTACGCGCTCAAAAGCGTTCGTCTTGATTGGGACTCAACTCAAACTGTAGGACGAGGCTCGGACCCTTTCTTTCAAGAAATTACTTAAATTCCTGGCTGAAAACACTGTACATCTATTTTGTGTGTTTTTATTGTGTGATCTCACACTGCTCGTCTTTTCCCCCGTTCCTCCCCAGGTGGATTCTGGCTCGGTGTGGACCAGGAAGGCCTGACGGGTAACCTCTCCTGGACCGGCGTCTTTTTCGGTGTGTTGGCCAGCGCGTGCGTCTCCCTGAACGCCATCTACACCAAGAAGGTGATGCCAGCGGTGGACGGAAACATCTGGAAACTGTCCTACTACAACAACATCAACGCCTGCGTCCTCTTCTTCCCGCTCATCATCGTGTCCGGAGACCTGAGCCGCCTCGTCGCCTTCCCCGGCGCCACCGACCTCAAGTTCTGGGGCATGATGACGCTCGGCGGGGTGTTCGGTTTCGCCATCGGCTACGTCACGGGCCTGCAGATCAAGTTCACCAGCCCGCTGACGCACAACGTGTCGGGCACGGCCAAGGCGTGCGCGCAGACCGTCATTGCGGTGGTCTTCAACTCTTCCAGCAAAAGCCTGCTGTGGTGGACGAGCAACATGATGGTGCTCGGCGGCTCCTCGGCCTACACCTGGGTCAAAAGTCTGGAAATGAAGAAGGCCCCCCACAGAGAGGCCGAGGACTCGGCGAAGGAGAAGCTGCTGCCGGGGGAGAAGGGCGACGCCGAAGTGTAGCAAAAGAAAGAAAAAATAACATTGTTTTTTATCCGTGTGGTGTGAGAATGTGAAACAATGTAAGATGTAGGACATCTGAGTCATCGGCGTTTGAAGTGATGCACACAGGGACGCGATGATTGTGTGTTTTTTATTCCATTTTATTTTAAGCTTGAAGGAATTTGTATGTGTTTTATATATATATAGTTTTTATTTAAAGCTATTCTCGTGCATCTGGGGCCTTTTTACAGTTGTGTTGACCTATAAATGTCTTATATGGTCGAAAGTGTGGGGAAAAAATGTTTTTTATCAAATCACTGTTATATTTTTAAATATATATAAAAAATAACTTATACCGTTTTAATTATGATTTGTATAAATTGTATTTCCAGGGTTTGTGTGATCATCTGGCTGAGACTACTTCCTCAAACGTTAACAATGCCATCCTAAATAGGGTAACCTAGGTAACCTGATCCAGGTCAGCATCACCTTGTCTCAATGGGACTGACGTAGGTAGTGATAGTGATACTCCTCCTGCAGTGTTTTAGTGAATGTGGACGTGATTTTCTGCAGCACGTCGCGTTGCTTCTTCTCCGCTGCATTTCAAATTGTAAAACTGGGCGAGGTGGAGTTATATTTGCATTTTAAACATCACTCCTACATTTACATGTGTCAGTGTGTTTCATTTTCACGGCGTGTACCGTGCAGCTAACTCTCCACCCGCTTGGAAATACCAACTCTTTAAATGTCTTTTCAAACACGGGAGCTCCCTGTTTTAAAAAGAACATTAAAGGATGTGTACAATGCAACTGTTCTTTATTCATAAGGGGCCTTGGGATTTCAGGGTTGAACAATTAAACTAGCTGCATTTAAAAAACGCAATTACACGTGATTATAATGCAATCAAGATTTCAAGAAAAAATATGTGTCAAATACACTACATTTTTTAAATTGAACAACCTGATTCAGTTAACATTATTTGTGGACATCGATTCGTAATTAAAGACGTGTTTTTTCTATGTTATCTATTTATTTCTAACCGTGACAAAAACCCCTTCACACATATTTACTGGAATGAATCTGAAAGCCGTCCGTGGGCTTCAGACTTGTGGAAAAGCTTTTTAATGGCTTGTTTAGGACAAAGATGAGATTCAGTGAGATGCAAGAGCAGCCACATTTCCACATAATTTACATTAGATAATTGGCCTTTTTGAGAAAACCTCTAATGTAGATTGGTCATCAACATTTTTACTAAATTGTCCAAAGCAGTCGTGCTCTCGTTTCTTTTCATGTTCAGCTGATGTCTGCTGGCTGCAGAGCTTAAAATCCGTCCGTCCTCGTGTCACTTGCTGCTGTGCACGGCGCGCGCGTCCGCGAGATGTCCCCTGTGTCCGTCCTGTCAGCGTGGGATGCCTGGATTTTGTCGACACTGGATGCAGGTGAGGAAGGTTAGTGGATGTTGGAGCACAAAGTCTCCGGGCTCCACGTGGAACATTTCTCCGAGCAACAGGGCGGCTAAAAATAGCCGTCGAGAGGACGATGGGCAATTACATTTACCAACAAAAAAACCCCCCTCTGGTCTCTGATGTCAAGGACTCGTTTTAACAGTGAATCCACTGAAACTTGTGTGACTGTCGTCATGTGGAACACATAATCCCCCCGTCATCTTCCTCTCTCTGCTGTCTGCTTGGGTCAGGTTCAACGTGACACGGCGAGGCCACGTCTCCAACGTGATTGACAGTTCAAAGGCGTCGGGTTTCATCAGCGCTCTTGTCATGTGTCTCTTTGCGTGTCAGCTCAACGCGGTGGTCAAAATGTGCTTGTCACTTTGTTGATGTCAGAGTTAATTACCAACCGCCACGTTTCCAGTTCTGATTATTATTATTAGTGTACACTTGCCGTGCATTGGGAGTTGCAGATATTAAAAGCCTCTTATGTGTATTTTTCATGTAGTTCTATGTTGTCGGCCTCATTATTAAGTGGATCTTAAACCAGCCTTAATTTGGCTTTTTAGTGGATGCGAAATGTGAAATGAGCGTGTCATCCACAACATAATATCACATTTGTTTATTCGTGGATTTGAAAGTGCGGGGCGTGTATGTTAGAAAAACTGTCAGTCGACACCGGTGTAAAATCATCAAAACAAGATATTTAATACTTGCAAACAGGAGACCGAGTCATGCTCAGAGGTCTTCATCCTCAGAGAAAACATATAGTTGGAAGATAAACCTGCTAAAACGGGGGATTATTACATCCCATCCCACAGTAATTACAGCTTTCATTTTCTTTGACACCTGTAATTTTCATATTTTATCCCATTTCTCTGGTGTGTGGGCTCAAAGTCGGGCCGGATACATTTTCACTTTCGCTGGCAAACAACCAACGGCACGTAAATGAAGTGAAAGCTTTGAGGAAGTCAAACATGGAGCAAGATGTTTTGGGAATTTCATTCATTTAACAATATATACTTTCACTATGCCTCTATCAGCTCATTCTGGAGATATTCGGCTCTCTAATGATCAACATGTATGAATGAAGCTTTAAAAGATAGGGCCAAAAGACAAGCCTTTAATAACTGCTAAAGGCCTGAGCCTCATGAACAAGAATCTAAAGACGCATATCTTTGGTCTGTGATGAAATAAAAAGTATTGCAAAACCATCTGCTATTCCATTAAACAACTAATAAAAAGCAACAATCCAATGGTTATCGGATTAATTTAGGCGTTGGGAGAAAGATTCTCATAAAGCAACATATTCAGTCATGGTTAGGACATTTTTGTATTATGAGGAGATGAAGTTAGTTACCTTACTCAAGCTGGAGCTTGTTGCAATGCATCCACATCTTCATCATCCCAGCCTTCAATGTGTCTGATGTCCAGGTCGTAAAATCGCAGGACCAGGGACCACCTAATCCACCTCTGGTTGGGACAAAGCAGACCTAATTCACCTCTGCTAGAGACAACGCAGACCTAATCCACCTCTGGATGGGACAAAGCAGACCTAATCCACCTCTGGTTCAGACAACGCAGACCTAATTCACCTCTCGTTGAGACAACGCACACCAAATCCACCTCTGTTTGGGACAACGCAGACCTAATCCATCTCTGGATGGGACAAAGCAGACCTAATCCACTTCTGGATGGGACAACGCAGACCTAATCCACCTCTGGTTGGGACAACGCAGACCTAATTCACCTCTGGTTCAGACAACGCAGACCTAATCCACCTCTGGATGGGACAACGCAGACCTAATCCACCTCTGGTTGGGACAACGCAGACCTAATCCACCTCTGGTTGGGACAACGCAGACCTAATCCACCTCTGGTTCAGACAACGCACACCTAATTCACCTCTGGTTGAGACAACGCACACCCAATCCACCTCTAGTTGGGACAACGCACACCTAATTTATCTCTGGATGGGACAAAGCGAGTATTCAAGAAGCAGGATGTGACTGGTGGAGTGTCTTCATCCCCTGACGCAGGAAGCGATGGACGGTGCCCTTTCCCTCTGCCCTTGTCTGTCCAACCTTTAATTTCCTCCTGATACCTGCATGGGCCGGCACCCATAAAAATATGACCTTAGTGCAAATTGAGAATACATTTTGGACATACCTGAATTGAGGCTAACGAGTGGAGTGCAGATAAGGACCCGGCGGTGCGTTTCTTCATCTGTCGGCGTCCCGTTATATGCAAGGAAGGCAGCCAACCCACCGCAAGTGGTGACACTACATAAAATGGCTCATTTATATTTGTGAACCCAAAAAGAACAAGGTGTTTAGCAAGCAGGTCAGTTCTAACATAGACGTTTTTTTAATCTACAGTCATCTTCGGTAATGTCAGTGGAAAATAAATCCGATAATGATGATTCCACCGACGCAGGAAGGCAACCACAACGAGTCACCTAATATCAGCCTCAATCTGTGTGCTCACAACCTGACAGAAGATGAAGAACAGATGAAGATAACACGGGGACTCCTAGTTAGAGGTTTAGGTAGTGGAAAAGCCACCTTGGCCCTGAAATGGGCCGTGACGATGCTGTCGGCCTCATTGCCCGCGGCAGACCTGCGTAGGCTGACATCATAAACATCTCGCAGAGGGGACATCTGTTATCTGTCTTCCGGGCCACTTGGGAACCTGTCATGTCCCGCGTGACAGCTGGTGTATGATGAAGCGTCACTAAACACATTTGGCTCGGTGCACCTGCAAATATATATATATATATATAATGATTTTTCACGACTTCTTTTGGAAAAAAAAGAAATAAGGTCTAACTTGTAGCTAAAGTGAGATTCCGTTTATTTCCTCGCAGCCTCTCAGCGAACTGACAGCTGGCTTTTTTTCTTACTCCTTCATCACTCATAACTGTTTTCCTCATTAGCATGTATTTTATTCCCCTCAAATGCACTTTCCATCTCCTTTGCCAACAGGTAATAGTCAGGTAGAGAAACAGAACCAGTTTGGAGACCTGGCACACTGGTTCGATTTCAAAGCGGATGCAAAGCGTCATGGAAGCGAGGGGTTGAGCCGGGTCCCAGTGCTCATACACCGATGCATCGCGTTTTGAGGAGACGGGAAGATCACTCTTCCTCTCTCGGAGCTCCAGACGTCTTTGGAGGTTCATTGTCGGCAGCCAGCAGGCTCGCTGTGCCCGCAGGGGGAAGGCGTCCGTGTCAACTCTACCGCCTGCTGCTGAATCTCTGTCTTCGTGTACACGGGACGTAAGGAGCCCTTTCTGGCAGTTTTTAAATCTAATTGGGTTCTTACAGTATTCAACGTGGGACTGTCTTTACATCGCGTGGCCTCGTTGCTCAGTAACTGAGGAGGTGTTTCACGTCCATTAGACGCCCCTTCATCTCGTGTCATGTTCCTGTGTCCCCCCCTGGAATAAGAACAACACATAACGAACGAGGGACATCTCTGTCCCTCCACATTGAGGTTAGATGTGGGGCAGATTTGTGAGTGTTCAATACCTGGGAGACTTTTACATTTAACTTGGCACAAAAATCCATGAATATTGACGGGAAGAATGAGGCTTGTATGGATGAGCTCGTGAGATTCAGATTCCTCTTTTCCACTGCTCTGTTGATGCAAATTGGGCATATGGCATTTGATAAATAATCAATTCTAGACTAACTCCTCTGCTGTAATCTTAGGGTCATTTAGGAACGAACGAGTTCCAATGTGCAATTGTCCAATTGTTTAATTATGACAATTTTGTTTCGATATTCATATTATTACTAACGTGTAGTTTGGATGTTGGTCCTTTGGTATGATTTGTTATGAAGCCCCATTGAATTGACCTGGGAGCTTATTCAAATCCGCAATATGGGTCCTAATGGAGAGAATTGGCAGAGAACACGGAAGCTTTAATATTCTGCATAGTCATTTGAAGTCATCCTTTTTGTTTTTTGTTTCCACACCTCTGCCAGGGGACCCTGGACGCCCTGGACCCCGGAGGGGAGCGTTGTGCCGCTGCCCCTCGGGGGGTGGGGGGGGGGGGGAACAGGGTCGGCTACACTTCCCCGCTGCTGCAATGTCCCGGGCCGTTGTGACCCCTGCATCATCCACCCAGGTCCAATCTCCCTGAGGCTGATGCACGTTCCCTGATCAGTATCTGCTACATGAAATGCTCCTTTCTGCCTCCGTCCTCCTCCGGCTGCGGCCTGTTTGACAACTGCGGATGCTGCGACAATGGAAGGTGGAGAGCCAGCGTCGACTCCCTCGTCAATGGAAAGTTTGGCACAGTGTCGGCACGGCTGGAGCGAGGAGGGGAGGGGGCCTTCGAAATGAGCAGGAGTGCATTCAATTCGATTATGCAACTACCAAGAAGTACAGGATGTGTTTATACCAGCTATTCATCTCTTTATGAACGTGTGAAATCATTAACTCCGGGTCATACACAAGGTCATCGTTCCACAATGATTGACAGAGCTGACGATATCAAGACAAACGCTACGTGACGTCTTAAAAAAGCAATACCACGTTTCGTGCAGTTTCAAAGCCTTTGGCGTTTGCAA